CATTCTTATACACCAATGATGAACTCACAGAAAGAGAAACTGAAAAAAACAATCCCATTTACCATCATGGCAAAAAATTAAGATACCTAGGAATAAACGTAACCAAAGAAATAAAGGACCTATTTGCAGAAAACTACAGGTCATTGAAAAAAGAAATAGAGGAAGATATAAAAAAGTGGAAGCACATACCTTGTTCATGGATTGGAAAAATTAACATCATTAAAATGTCCATACTACCCAAAGCAATCTATAGATTCAATGCAATCCCCATCAAAATACCAATGACATACTTCACAGAACTAGAACAAATACTTCAAAAGTTCATAGGGAACCAAAAAAGACCTCGAATAGCCACAGCAATCTTGAAAAAGAAGAACGACGTTGGAGGGATCCCATTACCAGATTTCAGGTTATACTAAAAGCCACTGTAATCAAAACAGCCTGGTACTGGCACAAGAACAGGCACATAGACCAGTGGAACAGAAGAGAGAACCCAGAAATGGACCCATGACATTATGCTCAATCAATATTTGACAAAGGTGGCGAGAGCATACAGTGGAGTAAAGACAGCCTCTTTAATAAATGGTGTTGGGAAAATTGGACAGCTACATGCAAAAATATGAAACTAGACCATCAACTTACACCATATACAAGAATAAACTCAAAATGGATAAAAAGACTTAAATGTGACTCATGAATCCATAAAAATCCTAGAAGAAAATGTAGGCAACAAAATTTCAGACATCAAACGCAGCAGAATTTTCAATGATACATCCCCTAAGGCAACAGAAACAAAGGAGAAAATGAACACATGGGACTACATCAAACTCAAAAGCTTCTGCACAGCAAAAGATACAATCATCAAAATGGAAAGGCTACCCACTGTGTGGGAGAGCATAATTGCCAATGATGTATCAGATAAGAGGTTAATTTCCAATATATATAGAGTGCTCATACAACTTAACAAAAAGAAGACAAAGAACCCAATTAAAAAATGGGCAGAGGAGCTGAACAGACACCTCTCCAAACAGGACATACAAATGGCTAAGAGACATATGAATAAATGCCCACATCACTAATCATCAGAGAGATGCAAATTAAGGAACAATGAGGTATCACCTCACACCTGTCAGAATGGCCACCATCAACAAATCATCAAACAACAAGTGTTGGCGAGGGTGTGGAGAAAAGGGGACTCTAGTACACTGCTGGTGGGAATGCAGACTGGTGCAGCCACTATGGAGGACAATATGGTGTTACCTCAAAAAATTAAAAATTGAACTTCCATTTGAGCCAGTGAGCCCACTTCTAGGAATATACCCTAAGAAGACTGAAACACCAATCAGAAAAAATATATGTACCCCCATGTTCATAGCAGCACTATTTACAATAGCTAAGATCTGGAAACAGCCCAAATGTCCATCAGTAGACCAATGGATAAAGATGCTGTGGTACATATACACAATGGAATAATATGTAGCTGTAAGAAAGAAAGATCTCTTATCCTTTGAGACGACATGGAGGGACCTGGAAAGTATTATCCTAAGTGAAACAAGCCAAACAGAGAAAGACAAGTATCACATGATCTCACATATTTGTAGAATATAATGAACATAACAATCTGAGGAATGGGGTAGTCCCAGAGATGTGGACATGGGGTACAGACTGTCAATCCCCAGACGAGGGAGTAGTGGGGGGAGAGGTAAACCACAGAACTTATATGCATGTGTGCATGAACAATGGACACGGACAACAAAGCTGGGGACCGGGTGAGGAGAGAGGGGGAGGGGGAATCAGTGGGGGGAAAACGGAGAAACATCTGTAACTAAATAAATTAATTAATTAAAAGTAAATAAATTATTTTTCTTGTTCAAAAAATATATATATATGTTTTTATTGATTTGAGGGAGAGAGAGAAACTGATTGGCTGCCTCCTATAGCACCCCAACCAGGGACCAAACCTGCAACCTGGGCATGTACCCTGAACAGAAATTGAAATACCAACCTTTCAGTGTATGGGATGATGCTCAACCAAGCCAACTGTCCAGTGCAAATCTTTGTTGTTTTAAGCCACTAAATATGTGTCAAATTTTTAAAGACAGAAATAGGAAACTAAGACACAATTTTTAGGCTTGGAGCCTGTAGTCTGCACAGCTCCTTTTAATACAATTGTACTCTTTTAACACCCCATTAGCTTCTAAAAAACAACCCAAAGTTTCTCCTTAGAAGCTATTTTAAACAGGCAAAAGAGCATTACTACAAAACTCAATACGTAAAAGTACAACTGGCACTCAAACTATTAACCAGTAGTTTAGCAAATTAGGATAATACTTCTGGAGGGGACTACCTATGAAAAGCCTTCAAATACCAGCCTCTTTACTCTGGTTAATTCTCCTGGTAGTTTCCTACGTAAGCAAAAAGAAAAGTGAGCACAAATGTTTATGTTCAAAATGTTCACAGTAGCTCCACTTATAATGGCTAAACAGTCCAAATGTCAAAAATTAGGAAACTGTTAAATAAATAATGGTACATCCATATTGTGAAATATTATGCAATCATTAAAATGTAGGCTAGTGAGCCCGGCCAGTGTGGGTCAGTGGTTGAGCGTCAACCCATGCACCAAGAGGTCCCCAGTTTGATTCCTGGTAAGGGTACATGCCCAGGTTGTGGGCCCAGTCCTCAGTGGGGGGCATGCAAGAGGCGGCCAATCAATGTTCTCGCTCATCCATGTTTCCATCTCTCTCTCCCTCTCCCTTCCTTGCTCTCTAAAATCAATAAAAAAAAAAAATTAGGCTAGTGAGAATCTTTAATGACATGGAGATATACTTAAGGCACAATCGTTAAGTGAAGAGATAAAAATATTATACAGATACAATACATAGTAAAATCTTAAGTAAATTAAAACACACATGTATTATATACATGAGGGGGAATAAAAATGCAGGAGAAATAACAAAAAAATTAACAGTCATTTCTGTAATGGGAATATGGTAATTTTAATTTTCTATTTAAACTTTTAAAATTTCCAAATTTTGACAACATACACATTTATTCATTTAGAATCCATCTCATTACAAACAAGTAGTTTAAAGTGCTAAAAGGTGAGCCTTTTTATGTATATAACTGAATCATGAGGCCATGAGTCAATCTCCTGATGCTATTTTCCAAAATGGAAACTTAAAATATTACATACTAAATATACTCTAACAACATTTACATGATCAATTAATTTCCATCTATCAAATAACATATTAATTAGAATTTAATCTAAATGTTTAAAAGTATACAAAAAACGGTGTGACATCAAAATCACTAAAAGATAAGCCTTTCTCACAGTCCATTTAGCTCTCTCATCACACCTACTCCTTACTCCACTCCACCCACTCCAACTCCTGGGCATTCTTTGAAGACATGAAGCACACGCCCACCTTAGAAATGTTTCTCCCTTACATGGCCAAGGGGCTGTTCCCTCACCCTCCTACATGCCTTGATTCAAATGTCACTTTCTCTGTATTTATTTATTTATTTATTTATTTAATCTTTATGTTGAATGTATTACAGATGTTCCTCATTTTTCCCCCATTGACCCCCTCCTCCCCACTCCTGCCTTTTCCCACACTGTTGTCTGTGTCCATTGGTTATGCATATATGCATATAAGTTCTTTGGTTTATTTCTTCCCACCCACCAACCCCCCTTCCCTTTGAGGTTTGTCAGTCTAGCAAGGCCTACTGTACTTCTCTACTTGACACCAAACCTCCCTTCATCCTGGCATCCTTCACTGTTCTACCTTTCTCCATAGTTTTTATCATCTTCTAACGAAGTACACAATGTTTAAAAATGTACACTGTTTACTCTTCCTTGGTGGTGGGACCTCATTTAGTCATTGATATGTCAAAAGAGCCTGACACAACAGATGCTCAATAAATATTTATTTCCTGAATATAAGAATACACTAATGACATGTCAAAGAACAGTCAATAATAATATAATCTCTAACAAGTATACAATTTTCTGTGCATGCATAATCAAGCAAAATATATGGCATATCACGTTTTTAAAAGAAAATGTGGACATCTTCATCATTCCCATGTGTTTCAATTTGTGTTTAACAATAGCTGACTTATTGAAAAGTATCCCAATTTTGTTAACATTGTGCAATACAGATGATATAATCAAGGAAACAATTTAAATAGTTTAAAAAATATGTATGGCCCTGGCTGGGTAGCTCCAATGGCTAGAGCATGGTCCTGATAAGCCAAGGTTGCAGGTTTCATCCTTGGTCAGGGTACATATAACAATCAACCAATGAGTGCAAAAATAAGTGGAACAACAAAATGATGTCTCTCTCGCTCTCTAAAAATCAATCAATCAATAAAAAATAACAGAAGTTAGGAATGAGTTTAACAAAAACTTAATTCTGAACACTACAGAACACTGTCGAAAGAAATTAAATTAGCACTGATAAATTTTTTAAAATGTATGTATTAGGCGAAATATGTTGAAATGCTATACATAAGATCTACTACTACTCTAAGCAAAAACAGCTTTTAAAATTATATATGCTTTGTTATTGCGTATATTGGAACAGTTCAGAAAGCCAAATTCTGATACAATTTTTGCCAGGTGATAACCCTCATAACTTTCTATTTCCGTTGGTATAGCTTCAGTTTGCAAATGCTCATTGCCCCAGTAAGACAGCATTCTGGGAATGGGGAAGCATAGACAAATATCAAAAGCCTGGCCCATTTTCTGAATCAAAAACTGCCAAGAACTGCCTAATGTCTGAAATGAGACCCACTCAGAACTCAATTCCCTGTGATTTCGTAAGTAACCAGACTATCCCTATTTATTTTTAAAGCAGTTCTCTATAAACTTACAATCCTTTACTCCCAGGGTTTGAAGCCTAAACCTTATGACAGGGTCTCTACAATGCCTAAATAAAACAGGTCTCACAAAATGCAAGGGAAAAGCCTCCCCGAAGATGTTGTTTAGCCAATACCTCTGAATGACGTTCTACACTTCCAGTGTCTGATCCAGAGTGGTGCTCATTTACATCATCCTCAACGTCTGACCCTGAATCCCGTTCATCCTGCACTGGGGTAGCGCCACCATCATCTGCTTAAAAATAAAACAAAAACCCACTTAAGGAGTAAGATGGATGACATCTATAGGTGAAATGAACACAATGAATCAAGGATAATGTAAGAGCAAAGGTTACCATTGATGAAGCATAATAATGCTAACGTTGTAAACAAGACAACAGTTTAATACTCATACAAACACCAACAATCATAACATATACTGTGACATATACGGCAGAACAATATACCATAAAAAGAATGCGAAGCTTAAGAAACATAACTAAGGACCAAGTCAACTACGTCAAATAACAGTGTGCTCTGCAACTATTTCAACTTTAAGAACTGAGTCTACTCTGTCCACAGCACTTACTTACCACCTTCTAATGTACTACATGACTTATTAAGAAATTTGTTTAAAGTAGTTCTTTCCTCACTTGAATGAAAGTGCCTAAGGAGCAGGTATTTGGTTCACTGGTGATGCCATGGAGCCCAGAACACTGCCTGGTCTGTGCTGCACCATGTCTGTTTATGAATGAAGAGCACGAGGAACTGCAGTTCAGAAACAGTGTGATCTCCTTGAAGAAAAACTCGTACTATACCATTATAAAATGGTAAAAATGATGTGCTACCTCCCATTAATCAATACTTTAAAAATATAAAGTGAAATTGTATCGAGAGGAATTTAGGGCTGTTGGAAGATAGAGGAAGACTTGGTTAGAAGTTTAATAAAAATAAAAACATTTTTTAAATGAAGCAGTCACCTACAGGAAAATAAAAAAGCTGCATAGGAGTGGATGCACTATCATATTAAAGAGTTACTCTGCTTAGCTAAAGAGCAAAGACTATACAGCAATAATAAAACCAGTAACTGCAATTTAACAATCATGCTGCAACAGTGAGTATGGGGGAGAAGAGGGCACATAAGCTAAAACCCTGCCCTCACGTAACAGGAAATTATTCCAGAATGCCCACAAATGAAGCAACCAGAGCGCACAAATTCAGAATAGGGAGGTAAACATTAAAAAACAAAAAGGAAAGTTAGGGAGCTACTCCTTTGCCTGTCTTCCAGCACTTAACCTTTATACACGCATTACATATAATCACTTATTATGAAGTAACTTGAAGCCGCAGAGGAGCTGGAACACTGTTTTGAGAGCACGTTAAGCCAGCCAGCGGGCCTGCTCGGAAAGGCACCTGTCGTCATGAGTGTCCCCTGCCATACAGAACGAACCCAGGTGAACTTCAAAAACAAAAGAGGTGAACGCTCCAACAATGACTTAAACACTTGGATGGAGACTAGCCGAGGGAACCAGGGCACAAGGGGCAGCACATGTAACCCCCGCTCCCGCCTCATTCGTCCTGGCGTCTCCCCGGTGTTTACTGCGTGAACCGGGCGGAACCGAGACCACACTCCACGAGGAGAAAGAAGAACGGTCTCGCGAGGAAAAACAAGCACGGACATCGCCAGCGACCATGCGACTCAGACGAGGGTCCTCCGCGCTCCTGGCTGGGAAGCCAGCGCTGCGAGTGGCCAGTCTGGGGAGCCCGGCTCCCCGGCTCCCCGGCTCCCACCCCACCGACGTCCCCTGAAATGTCCAAAAACGCTCTCGACGAAGCCCGGGCCCAGGAGACCCCACCTCGGGCCGCGCACACGCTCAGCCCTCGGCACCGTGCGGAGAGGGCGTCCCCGCTTCACCCCACTTCGCGGGCTCGGGGACGCCGTTCCCTCTGGAGTGCCCGCCCCCAGGTTCCAACTTCCGGGCCCCCCCAACCCCGGCGGCCGGGCGGAAGAAACGTCTCCGCGGCCTCCACCCGTCCGCGGGGCCCACGAGCCGCACCCCCCCAGCCCTGCGCCCCGGTCCCGGCCCCACCTGACTGGTCGCCGCTGTAGTATTCCGAGTCCATGGCGGGCGGGCCCTCGGCGGGGAGTGTCCGCGCCCCGCGCCGCCCCCGTCACCTCCTTCCCGGCGCAGTGACCCCCTCCGGTGGCTCGGCCGGGGCTCAGGGGGTCCCGCCCGACGGAGGCTCGGAGGGCGCGGCGAGAGAGACAGCAGCAGCGGCACACGCGAGCACTGCCACCCAGGAGCCCGTACCGACCGAGCGGCAGGCGTGCGAGCCGGCGCTCGGCTTCCCAGAAGCACCTCTGGGGCCAAGATGGCGTCTGCCCACGACCCTCAGAGGAACGCAGTGCGCAGGCGCCATCCCCTGACCACCGGCCAATGGGAAGGCGCACTGGTCAGGGCGCACGACCGGGACGGAAAGGAGACCGCCGGGTGAATTGAGCGGGAGCAGCGACTTCAGTTCATGCCTTCCCTTCGCATGCCCTGCGCTGCCGCCGCCCGTGGAGGGGGCGGCGTCGCTTTATTGGTTCTGTGTTCGTGCCGTGTTGGAGGAACTTGGAGTTACTCTTCCGGAAAAGGAAGACGCTAAAGTGACCTATTCCATCATTCCGCTGGTGAACATGCAGTGGGGCGCTTGCTGCCCTCCCTGCCAGCCCGGAGGACGTGGCGCGATGCTCTCTGGTACTTGTAGTTTGAGGCGCAGGGAGCTGTGATGCGGCACTAAGTGACCTGATCCGAGAGTCTCCTTTCTTTCTTTTATCCTCACCCTAGTACATTTTTCCATTTTTTGTTCAGCCAGAGTGGGAGGGGGAGAGAGAGAAACATCCACGTGAAAGGGACACATCGAGTGGCTGCCACCCGCAGACCCAACCAGGGCCGGGGACAGACTGTAACCAAGGTACATGCCCTTAGAGGGAACTGAACCCGGGCCTCTCTGGACTGCAGGCCAATGCTCTAACCACTGAGCAAACCTGGTCAGGGCCAAGGGTCTCCTTTCAAGGTGTTTTCCATTTCTGTGTAAAATAGCGACTTGATTTCCCTCTTAAGATGCCGTTTGGGCCCTGGCCGGTTTGGCTCAGCTGTTAGAGAGTCGGCCTGCGGTCCAGAGAGACCCAGGTTCGGTTCCCGCTAAGGGCACGTACCTCGGTTGCTGTTTGTCCCCGGCCCTGGTTGGTCGTGCGGTTGGCGGCCACCTGATGTGTCCCTTTCACATCGATTTTTCTCTCTCTCTCTCTTCCTCTCCCTCCCTCCCACTCTATCTGAACAAAAAATGGAAGAATGTCCTCGGGTGAGGATTTTAAAAAAAAAAAAAGATGCCATTTGATCAATAGTTGGAAGTACAGGTTTTTGCTTTCAGAGAGATCCTCGATTAAAGGAGGGTGACGTTGCTGAGTGTCACTTGTGCCCTATGCTCCCGACAAACAGGGATGGTAAAGAAACAACCTGAGGGTGCTCGCTTGGCAGCACATATACTAAAATAGAAACAATACAGAGAAAATTACATGGCTCCTGCACAAGGATGACTCGCAAATTCGTGAAGCGTTACATATTTTTTCTGGAAACAGCCCAAGTGTCCATCAGTAGACGAGTGGATTAAAAAGCTGTGGTACATGTACACAATGGAGTACTATGCAGCTGTAAGAAAGAAAGATCTCTTATCCTCTGAGACGACATGGAGGGACCTGGAGAGTATTATCCTAAGTGAAACAAGCCAGGCAGAGAAAGACAAATATCACATGATCTCACTTATTTGTGGAATATAATGAACTAAACAAACTGCTCAACAAAATTAACGCAGTGACATGGAGGTGGGGTACAGGCTGACATGCCTCAGAGAAAGGGGGGGGTTTGTGGGGGAAGAGATGGGCCACAGAACTTACATGCATGTATGCATGACCAATGAACACAGACAGCAGAACTGGGGATGGGGCGGGCAGGAAGGGGAGGAGGGTGTCAATGGGGGAAAAATGAGAAACATTTGTTAACAAAAAAAAATTAATAATGAAAGAAAAGTTATATACGATATCATACCAAAAACAAGAAACAACCTGATGCATCAGTGTCTCGGGAAAGGCTCACTGAAGAACAGCCCTTCTCCCTATGACTTTGATAAAACTCACACTCTCCACTCTTTCAGGATTCCCATGAGATTGGCAGATGACCCCCTTGTTTCAGGTTCAGACCCCCCCCAACACACACACACAGACACCTCATGGTTTTTATCTTATGAATGATTAGCTGAGATCAGAATTCTTTGCTCCTCTGAAAACAGATAGACACAGAGATAAACATTCTGTTCACCTGACTGCCTGAAACTTCTGATTGCAAAACAGCCCCAACTGTAAATCATCCCACCTTCCTCCCTGTGAAAGTCTAAGGCAAAACTCCTCCTGCCTAGACACTCTGATCTTCACATCTGGGGCGTTCTCCCTATTACAATGCCCTGAATAAAATTCATTTCCTTTCTTGTTCATTTATGTCTTAGACAAAGAGAAGAATTTTATTGCCTTTTGATGGGAGGAGGGACAGTGGAGGTATAAGCAAAGATTCCCAGGAGGTGCAAACTTGCAGAAATAGAGCCTTTTGTTAGTTGGCGCAACTTACTTACCCTTGGACTGGATTTCTAAGCATGCCTAGCCTACTATAAGGCCTCAGTGGGTGCCCTGAAAGGCCCACCACCTACCTTGGAGTTGAAAGATGTGGACTCTTTGATGCCAGCTCTGCTATAAATTCTCAGAGTGCTCTTAGTCAAGTCACATCCCAGCTGTGGTAATCCTTGAACCCACTGTCAGCCAATCTGTATGCTGGCACAACAAAGTTCTAGGCTTCATAAAAGGACATGGGAAGGGAAGGAAGAAAGAGGGGTGGTTTCTTTCAGGATAAACTGCTTTTCTTGTGAGAAAGTTCATGTGTATTTCTTCCCCTGAGTACTGGAAACAACTTTGAAATCCAAGCCTGCCCCTGCAGCTGTGGGAAGGACATCTTCTCAGGCTGTGGTGAGAATCAGAAGAGCAAGGAATCAACAGGACCTGGAACCAAACATACAAAAATTAAATAGTTACCTCTCTGCATTTGATAGAAGAGACTAGGATCTAAGCTCTCTTCTAAAGAGAGTGAGTGAGGTTGTACTGTGTAAATAAGGCAAGGTGAATAGGACAGAACTTCAGGAAGAGGTTTAGCGAACGGTAACCCAGGGCAAGTATTGCAAACCCTTCTCCAGAGGTATAAGACCAATGGCCATGCAAGAGATGGGGATAAATGCTGCAATTACAAGAGGATAATTAGTGAATTTTTAACCTAAAGATTCTAACTGTCCTGGTGATTTTGAGAATGGAGACAAGGCAGGAAAGAAAGAAGTTAGGGTCTGGCCGGTGTGGCTCAGTGGCTGAGCATCGACCCTGCACCAAGAGGTCACCGGTTCGATTCCCGGTCAGGACACATGCCCAGGTTGTGGGCCCAATCCCCAGTGGGGGGCATGCAGGAGGCGGCCAATCGATGTTCTCTCTCATCCATGTTTCTATCTCTCCCTTTCACTTCCTCTCTCTCTAACATCAATAAAGGGGGGGGAAATGAAGTTAGGGAAAGCTCCTGATAAGTGGACTGAGGAAGTAGGAACAGACATCATGGGCTGATAAGCTGCTAGGTCCTCACACCAGAGCTCCCACCTCCATGTGTGATCGAAGGGAAACGATTTATGACAAGACATTTCTGTGGTGGTCACCGAAGTCAACAACAAGAACTGGCTAAAACCAACTCAGGCCAAGATGGAGGAAAAATTGACCAGAAAACAATTCCATTCATGATACCATCATTATAATGAAAATTGATACCACAAGGAGAAGGGGGACTGAGTGGGGAGAATAGCATGACCCTTCTGGAACAGACCATATTAGGAATAAGCCCCCCTCCCAACCAGAAGTCAGAGACAGAATTTTGTAGCACAGAGTTTAGGAACAATCCACCCTTGGAAACACATGAAAGCCCAAGAACTGATTGACTGCAGCTTGCAACTCACTTGTGAGTTCGCCTGTGTCCACTTGGCCAGGTACTTCTGCTTTTCCACAGCAACATCCTATGAGACCTGCAGCAAGGGAGGAGCAGGTGGCGGCACTTTGTCTTTGTCTCGGGCTTACCCATCCTATCTCCAGGAATCTTCGTTTTGGCCTCTTTCTCTCGACCTAATAAAACTTGCTTTTGCTTTCATTTGGACTTACTCTTGAATTTTTCCCTATGTAGAGTCAAGAACCTGCAGGTCATAGAGTGCTTAGGGGCCCCAACTTGGGTCCATCTCCAGCAACAGAGAGATAGAAGCAGGCTGAACACACAGCAATGTGCTGAGCCCCAGAAGCCTGCGAAGAAGTTTTTGTACAGAAGCCAACAATTTGGTTAGTGAAGTAGGACACACCTTGGAAATAAACATAGAGTCTTGGTTAAAGCAATGTGTTCGTCAGTGCAAATGCGGCTCCGGGAGAGTCCCCAGAGCCCCCACCAGCTGCTGCCCCTCAGGCCCCGACTGAGAAATGCTGGAGCAGCCCAATGTGCCTTTCTGAGCCTTGGCTCCTGGCATTTTGAGGACTGCCATCTTGCCAGTCCCCACGACTCTCTCCAACTCCAGCACAGTTGCCAAGCTGGTGGTGGTGGAGAGGCACTCAGAAAGAAGGTCGCTTTTCCCACCAGGGATACCAACGCTGGGAAAGGGGAAAGGAAGAGGCGAACTCACAGCAGTACAGTACTCTTTTTCCTTTGACTGATGATAATCCAGCAATACTGATGTCCCTAAGTGAATGCAAGATTGATTTGGTCAGCCTTTTGAGACACTGTAACTTAACATGTCAGGAGGTGAGAGGTCACACCATGGAAGGACAGCCTGGCACTGGCACAGCAGCTGGCTTATTGTGCTTGGTGAGCTAGATAAGCCACCAGTCTTCTGGGAATCTGAGTTTCCCCATGTGCCAAATGAGAAGATTTCAAGGCCCCTTATTTTCATTCTTCTATGTCAAGAAGCCAGGTCTCCAAACCTGAATGTCCTTCCTGTGCTTGAGCCACTAGGGGGCCCTGCTGGTGAAGAAACAGATGAAAATTAGAGCATTCTGCGCCGGCTCCCCTAGGGGTGCACGTCCTCACACATCCCAGCCTCACAGCTCATTAGGACCTTTGCAAGATTTGTTTGTAATACTGAAAACTGGGACTCACTCGAAAGCCTGTTACTAGTGGATAACGAATCATTAAACATCAGTACCGTGGCACAGTATGCAGCCATTAGTACAACTGAAGTGGATCTTTAGCTCTTACATGGAAGGATGTCCAGGATATATTCAGTGAAAAAAAGTCATAGACTGCTGTAAATGGTATCACTTTATTTATGAGAACACCGAAAAGAATGAAAAAAACAAAACAAAAAAAACCCAACCCAAGAATTCCTTGATAACCACGGAGGGAAAAGAACTTTACAACAAAAAAAGAACTGACACATTTGATTACATAAAAATAAAAACTTTAAAAAAGCATGCATGATAAAAAGAACACACTGTAGTCCGGCCCATGTGGCTCAGTGGTTGAGCATCGACCCATGCAACAAAAGGTTGCCGGTTTGATTCCCAGTCAGGACACATGCCCAGGTTGTGGGCCTGATCCCTATTTGGGGGCATGCAGGAGGCAGCCAATCGATGTTCTCTCTTATCAATATTTCTATCTCTCTCTCCCTCTCCCTTCCTCTCTCTCTGAAATCAATAAAGGAAAAAAAATTGGAAAAAAAAAAGAATTACAAATGGGGGTTCGTGGAGGGAGGAAGACAAGACTGCAGAACAGGGTCTCCTTCACTTTGCCTTCCAGCCCAGGCAACTGCAGCCCCACCCCAGCCAGCCTGCAGTGAAAAGCCCTGAGCACCCCTCCCCTACCGGATCATCTCTTCCCATTGCCTTTGCTGTGGCCACCAGCACACGGAGCTGCACCTGGCCAATGTATATTCTTCTATCATGTGCTGACCTTGGCAAAGCTGCCAGAGGTATTCTCAGCAACGGATTTGGTGTTGGGTTGATGAAACTGGACGTGAAAACAAAGTCATGCAGTGACATGGAATTCTCAACATCTGGTTCATCTAATACAGACACTGATAATGTTACTGGTAACTTAGAGACCAAATATAAATGGTGTGGATATGGCCTGACTTTCACAGAGAAATGGAACACTCTAGGAACAGAAATTGCATTGAAGACTAGATTTGTCCAGGTTTGAAACTGACATTTAATCCCACCTTTTCACCAAACATAGAAAAGAAAAGTGCTAAAACCAGGTCCCCTTACGAGAGGGAGTGTATAAATCATGGTTGTGATGTCAACTTTTATTTGGCTGAAACCACAATCTATGGTTCAACTGTCTTTGGTTATAAGGGCTGGCTTGCTGGGTACCAGATGACCTTTGACAGTGCCAAATGAAAGCTGATAAGGAAAGACTTTGCTGTGGGCTGCAGGACTGGGGACATCCAGCTACACAATAATGTCAATGATGGGACACAATTTGGAGTATCAATTCATTAGAAAGCACATGAAGGTCTT